ATTCCTGGTGACACACCATGTTTTCCCCCTTTGACAACTAACTCTTAGCAGTAATTGCTCTGGTTTACTCTTTCCTTTTTCCATGTTGCTTTTCCATTTTCCTAATGATCTCCTGCAAATATTAACCTTAACATTTTTCAGGATTCACTCACAGAAGTTAATCAATCACCACCTGTTATGACATGCTTTCTTTAGGGATGGACAATTATTAACATTTTCATTTTTTGTCAGTTTTTATTTCCCCGCCTAGATATTGTTTCCCCTTTCTCGCATTATTTTCGCCATTACTGCTGAATACATACTTTCTGTACCTGCTGTCCTAATAATCAAATGTTTGCAAACAAGTCTCCATAAAGCATGGTTTATTATTAGAGAAATTAAACATTTAAAAAAGCAAATTTGAGATTTCACAGAATTTTGGTTCTGGAAATACAAATGAGGTAATTTTATATTTAAATACTAAGTAAATAATTATCTCCAATTCTCTACTTATTTTTTTTGTAAAAAAAACCTCCAAAAATATTGAAGGAAATACTGAATAGCAGCAAAATGAAAATATCTTTTGTTAGGGAGTGAATCAAGCTATTATTCTGAAGTATCTCTGGATTTCTTTAAATATGTTTGGCATGGTAGAATTTTATTTATATGTTTATTTGTTTATTCCATTTCAAGACTACCTCAATTATAGACAGCTTATAGTACAGGATTAATACATCAGATAAATAACAGCTAAAAGCAAATAAATAAGACCAGAGTAATGCATGACATACATCATGGAAGAGAACAAGTCAAACATATCCCCTACACACACACACACACACACACACATACACACACACACACACACACACACACAAAAGACCATAAGGAAATACAACTGTCTGACTTCCCCAGGAACAGATGAAAGACCCAGGGTTTTACAGCATTGCAAAATCCAAACAGAGTTTAGGGCAGGTTGCTCTCAGGAGATATGCCAGTGATGGCTAACCTTTTTGGTGCCGAGTGCCCAAAGCAGGGGTGTGAAACCCCAAAATGCAATGTGAGCACCCCCCACATGCACTCCCCTGTACATGCCCCCTGCCCCCTGCATGCATCCCGCCCTCAGGCATGCACCCTGTGCATGTTTCCCGTCCATATGCCCTGCCCCATGAATGCACCCCGCCCCATGCATGTGCATCCTCTGTGCATGCGCCCTACCCCCCCCATCCATTTTTGGCTTCCAGGTTAGTGCAGGAGGTTTTCCAAGCCCAACAGGGGACATGGGGGGGCGTGCATCACGCAACCCCCAAAATGCAATGTGAGTGCCCCCCGCACATGTGCATGCATGGCAGGCAGAGACCCAAAGACCAGCTGGCTGGTGGGAGGTGTGCATGCATGCACGGTGAAGCTGGGCTGGGGCGACGGCTGACGTGCCCACAGAGAGGACTCTGCATGCCACCTGTGGCATGTGTGTCATAGGTTCACCATCATAGGGATATGCTGTTTTCCACACGTCTACCAAGAAGTCACATCTCTTAGGTCCTGCAAGCAAGAATGCTTGCCAGCTTGTCCAGATCTTATGGATTGGGCATGAACACCAGGAAAAGGGCAGAAGTGAGAACCTAATCTCTGTGTAGGTGAAAAGCCTTGAATTTTACCCTCAAACCTACCAGTAGCCCAAGACCACTCACAGAGCAGTAGTGTTATATGAGTGAAACAAGAAGCACTTAACCAGTTGTAAGTTCTATGCAACTTTCAAGAATAGCCAATGTAAAACTCTTAAGTGGGCTGCTGGGGGTTCTCAAGGGTTTGGGAGAACCTCTAGCTAAGTTTCTGTGCAGTTTGGAGAATCCCCAAATCCCACTCCTGGCTGGCCCCACCCCGCCCACCCCTCCCCTCCCAGGAGTTACCACTCAGCCAGTTTTGGATGCAGGGCGCATGCGGAGGCTTGGAGAAGGCAAAAAATGAACCTACCCGAAGTTCGGGAAGGCCGGAAAGTGGCCCATTTCCAGCCTCCAGAGGGCCTCCAGAGCCTGGGGAGGCCATTTTCACTCTGCCGGAGGCTCAGGGAAAGCTTCCAGAGCCCAGGGAGGGCAAAGATGTCCCCACCCTGTGGTGCAGAAGGGCGACTAGGCATGCCCACCATGGCCACGCCCACCCAGAAACCGGGCAGAGAAAGTTTTGCTAAAATTTTTGCAGTCTAGCCCTGATAATACCTATAAAGGGAGCTGACTAAGGCAAGAGTGTCTGTGAGAAGCACTTCCCTTTCTTTAAAAGGATGTAACTGAAACACAAGATAGATCTCTGTAAAAGCTGTCTTGGCCATAGATGCCTCCTGCTCTTTGAGCAGGAGCCAAGTATCCAAGATGATCTTAAATTTTATACCAGTTCTACCTGGGGAAGTGCCATTCTGCTGAGTGTTAAAGATGGTAAATCACTATGAGTGGCAGTTTCTTGAAACCAAAGCCACTTAGTCTTGGCAGTGTTCTTAAGCTTGTTCTTCTCCATTGAAACACTAATACCTTGCATGCACGGTGACAAAATTTCCTGTCCAAAATGTCACCATCCAACCTGGGGACAAGATGTAAAGCTGGATATAATTTGTCTACTTATGATACCTGACCTCATTCAGAATGGATGACTTCACTTATCATGTAGATCATTGGTTGTCAACCTGTGGTCCGCAGACTCTTGGGGTGGGGGGGTGCGATGTCATCACAGGAAGTCCGTGAAGAAATATTATGATTTAAATTTTGAGTTGAGTCTTGGTGGTCCTTGGCCCTAACCCACAAAAGGTATTTAAAGGAGGGTGGAGAAAAGGTTGAGAACCAATGACTTAGATGTTAAATAGGAGTGGAGAAAGCGTTGAGACTTTTGGGACTCCACGAAAGAAAGGGCCTTGGGGTAGATCTGCCCCCATTTACCAATATTGAATAAAACTGGTCCCAAAGGAGGAGAACCATTGTAAAACAAAAGTATCCCTTATTCCCAACCCTCAAAGTCAGTCCAGAAAAATAAGAGCAGTGGTGGGCAGTGGTTAGAGTGGTTAGAGTGGTACTGCAGGCTGCTTCTGCTGACTGCCAGCTGCCTGCAATTTGGCAGTTCGAATCTCACCAGGCTTAAGATTGACTGAGCCTTCCATCCTTCTGAGGTCGGTAAAATGAAGACCCAGATTGTTGGGGGCAATATGCTTACAGCCTTAGGGCTGTAAAGCACTGTGAAACGGTATATAACTCTAAATGCTATTGCTATTGCTATATTATGATGTATCAGGTGCATACTGAAAGAGTATCAAATGCAGCTAAGACCAGGATGATCATATCATTCCAATCCCAAACTCACCAAAGATTATCAACAAACATGCTATCTTACTGTTGTACCCAACCCTAAAGCCTGACTGGAAAAGGTCCTTTATCAAAAAGGAAAGATTGAGAACTGATTAAAAAAAATCCATCAGTGGCTTCTTGAGAAGGGGGCATACCAATATCTCCTTGAAGGTAAACAGAATGACCCCCTCATTCAAACACTTGAAACCAGCAGTTTGTCACCTCCTGGGAAAACTAAGCAGGAGGGACATTGAACTAAAACATAGAAAGCAGCTCTGATATTCCAGAGAATCCTGTGCAATTACTTGACTTTTGCAGGCTTAAATTCCGCTTAGATAATAGAATTGTTCATCCAGGGTGCACTTCTTAATGAATCCATCAGATGCCTATAATATTTTTCACAGCAGCTGTTCTTCAGTTGTTCATCCTCAGCCCTCATGAGAGAGCAGGTTACCTTAAAAAAGGTTACTGGGGACATTTCTGCCAATGTATAATGTGAAGGAGGAATAAATAAATTTTGCTACTCTTTTCACTACTGTGTGAGCCTTAATATAGGACCCTACACATGTGTGATCGGATGAATTCTTCATCTTTCTCTAGCAGTACTTGATGTGTCACTTCTGATGCTTCATTTCCCAGAACATCTCCAAAAACCAGTAAGTCCAACAGATCAAAGAAGAAGAGAGGCAGATCAGGTGTAATCTTCTTTAATAAGCTGGATTTTATTTCATTTTAGCATTCCATTATTTCTTGATAAGTGGACATGTATGTATATGTGTGTATATGGAGTTTTAAGATTTTTTTTTCTTCCATTCAATCAAGCCTGATTCTCATAGACTATCTGGACAAATCCATGCATTTTGGGGGTAAGCTTTTTCAGAAGTAGTTTGCCCTTGCCTCTTTCCTAGGCTGAGAGAAAGTGATTCATTCTAATGACCAGAAAGTGACTACAAGTAGTCCCTGACTAACAACCGTTCATTTAATGACTGTTTAAAGTTACAACGGCACTGAAAAAAGTAATGTTTTTTGCACTTACAATTGTAGCAACCCCAGTCATGTGATCAAAAGTAGGTAACTGGCATGTATTTATCCCAGTTGCAGTGTCCCAGGGTCATGTGATGACTTTTTGTGACCTTCTGACATGTGTAGTCAATGGGAAAGCCAGATTCACTTAACAACTGTGTTACTAATTTAACAACTGTGATGATTCCCTTAACATTGGGGCAAGAAAGGTTGTAAAATGAGGCAAAATTCACTTAACAACTGTCTTGCTTAAAAACATAAGTTTTGGCCTCAGTTATGATCATAAGTTGAGGATTACCTGTAGTCACAAGTTGGCTTCTGCCTAAGGTGAGACCAGAACTCTCAGAGTCCTAGTTTCTAGCCTGATTTAATCACTGCACTTCTCTGATTCCTGAGAAATTTATGAGCTAACAAATGTATTGTCTTATGTTCATTTAACATTTGTCTGTCAGACCACTTACAGAAGAAAGTAACAGGGTTCTCATAGTTAATTTTATGTTAGAAATTTGGTTTACATACAGTATAGCACTACAGATCAGAGTGTACAGTCACCATGTGCTTTACTGCTTAAATGTTTAGCTGTAACAGGAAACAGGAAACTCTACTTAGAACAAAAAGAATATACCTGTAGAGTGTATACCATAGATCCAAACTTGTAAACACTGCCATCTACTGCCTGAATATTACTGTAATTATTGCACAAAAACACATTCCAACAACATATTCCATCATTTTCGTCTGGAGAAGCTAAGGCCATTCAACATTATGAAGGTGGATTCTTTGTTAAGCATCAGATAAAAGCCAAAGGACAGACATGAGTTGTCTCAAGTACATGTTTTATTGCAGTTTTTAAAAACATTCATGAAAAACAAGGTTAATTTTTAAAAATAGTGAATCACTGAAGAAATCTAAAACTTAACTTGGTCTAAAATCAAATAAACAGCTACAAGAACCAGACCTCAGTGAAGTCACCCAAGTTAGGTATCCCTGTTTCACAGATAGGCATTAAAATTGTAGAAATTTCTCTTAAAACATGCTCTGAAAAAAACATTAGTCAAGATGCTTAGAAGCCAAGGAATCCAATCTCAAGCCAGAGAATTCCAAACTCTGAAAATAATACAAAATACATAATATGGAGCCAGAAACAAAGAAAGAGGAAAACATCCCAACCTAGCGTTTTTAGAGGCCAGGATCAGTGTCTATCAAAACTTCTCCTTTCCAAATTCCATGATCCATGTTCACAAAGTTTACGTGTCTTATGAACCTCTCACTCATTTCAGTGCTGTGTGACCAAGAGAATTTCCTGGTGGACTGGGAAGCAGTCCTGCATTCTATTACAGCCATGGAAGCTGCACACTTGGCTAAGGGTCAGGATCTGGTCCAAACGCTTTCCTTCTTACAGTAGACACTTTTAAATGAAAAGCCAGTTCTTCTAAGCCAGACTTTCCAAGCTTAGGTCACTCTTAATTTTGCCTGTCCCTACATCCTCTCTGAACATTGCCTGTACTAGCTGCAGTTATAGTCTTAAACAGTGGGAGGAAACCATTTGAAGAATAGTAGGCTAAATCCAGAACCAATTCAGTCTGATTATCAATGTAGGACCAGACATGTATTCTCATGTTTCTGCTAGTGTTTCTAGTCTTGCATCTGGATTACAGCTGCCCTTTAGTGGTACAAAAAACTGTCAGTGGTCCATCAATAGAAATGATTACTACAAAACACCGTCCAAGATTATCTGATATCCCCTAGAATTTGTGCCTTTTTTTTTCTTTCAAGACATGGAGGTACTAAACTGCATGTCCAACTTTGAAATACATAAAGTTGAACTAGGTTTTAATGTTCTGGTGTGGGAGTGTGCTTTCTCCTCTGATTTCTTATTTGGTACAACCAAGCCAGGGCCAATCGAAAGAAATCGAAACAGCAATTTTGGCTCAACAAAGCTGGAAGTGAGACTGTCACAAACAAGCGGTCCTTGCAGAGAATAAAGGATGGAACATTTCCCAAGGCTGTTCTATGAATATCTTAATAGGATGTACTAAATGCAAATATAAATGGCAAACAGTATAACAAGCCTCCAAAGTTGCAAGTATGCTTCATGTAAAACCAATCAGCTTTGCTCAAATTAATCTGCAGATGCTGCTTTCTACAGTATTCTGATTTCCAGCTCCCATAAGAAAACATGAGGAGGAATCAATTACAGAGACTGAGGCCAGGAGAGTGGCATATACTGGGCATTTGCCAGGACACCTAAGAATGTTACAGAGTCTTTATTAACCAGCTGCAAGACAGGACTTTGGCCAACAGAAATTAACATCATGAACTGGTTTCTGTGTCAACATGTCCCGAGTCAATAACAGAGCCAGTCAGAGCTGAAAAGATGCATTAATGTCCACATTGGGCATCTATTGGCTTCAGTTCCATGTTCTCAGTCTGGGTCGCCAACTATTTTGTGACTATTTCCAATATGGTATCACGAGTATCCTCGAACCTCACTTTGACAGCTTAACAGTCCACGTGTCACATATGGTTATTTCCATACACAGCCCATGCAAAATGAAGCATTATTACCTTTTACTCCGAGGCAAATAATATCAAGTCACATGTCTGTTATTCCAGGCTTAAATTGAGACAGTACAGGAGAAAGTAGAGAGACAGGCCCTTTGTCTTTACTTGTCAGCTAGAATACTGACAAAAATAAAGGAACTCTGTCATGCAGGAAAAGGTTAACTTTTATGCCCCAAAAGAAATGCAGCTGATGTGACTTCTCCATACAAATTTTCCAGCCTAGTCTTCTACACGTCCTCAACTTTTAAATCATAACTTACATCATTAGAGCTTGGTGGATAATGCATTGAAGATTCTACAGAAGGGACTTCATTATCTGTCCTGACGGTGTTTGGGTCAATCAATATAGCCTAGAAAACAAACCACATTAGTCTTGCCTCCCTTCTAGGTTTTCACACATTCATTTGAGGAACTCATTTTCTCCCCCACCCCCAAGCATCAAAACTCAACCAATTGGATCATTTTTAAAAAGGTATTTTCATTTTCTGACCTCATTCCCTCTCAGATTAATTCTGTTTAATTCCCATTCATCTGTCCATCCTAGCTACAATATGCCATTGTTTTCATCAAAACCTGACACACAATGACTGATACACTTTAATAATCAAAATCAGAAACGTTAACAATAAACTCACAGATGTAGCTGCAATTATAATTTGGGTATGAAATCTCACCTCATTGGAGTCAGAACGGGTTGCCCGGCACCAAAAATATGCAGTTGCTGATGCAATGCAGAATTCCACAATGGTGAATGTCAACAGCACAATGGCGATCCGATTGCCTGTCTTTTCCCCAATGGAAACAATGATACAAGCCGATTAGCAAATGGGAATCTATCCATTTATTTCTCTTGGAGGCTGTCTTAATCCATATAATTGCTTTGTTCTGTTCCCAGGGTCCCACTTCATGCCTTGGAGCCCCAGGACTCTTGCAGACATCTCCTACTGGGTCTGATTGGTTTTGTCCTACCTCTGTACTTCTAGGTCCATTTAATTTCAAAACCATAAAAGTTGCTATAATACAGTGGCTTGCAGCAGCATCTTCATTTCTAAAAAAATGTTTCAAATGGTCCTATAAGCTATTCTTAGAAAATAGTGATGAGCAGCAGCAGCAGCAACAGTCCAGAAACAGCTGAGCTGCTTAAAAGGGGGGCAAAAGTGATTGGGGGAAAGAAGGCAAAAGTAATTGGGAGAGAAGAGAAGTCCTCTAGAACAGTGTTTCCCAAACTTGGCAACTTTAAGACTTGTGGATTTCAACTCCCAGAATTCTCCAGCCAGCAGAGCTGGCTGGAGAATTCTGGGAGTTGAAGTCCACAAGTCTTAAAGTTGCCAAGTTTGGGAAACACTGCTCTAGAAAGAGGGTTGGGAGAAAATGTCACATTTGGACAAAAGAACTCTGTCCCTCAGCCCTTTACAAGAGCTCCTCAAAGACCAAATGCCCCCTTCAGATTTGAAAGGTTCAGGACTCCTTCTCTAGTCTTTGTGAACATAAGCCTTTTCAAAGTGAACATATTTGAATATTCAACATTTAAACTGCGTCATATCCATTCTCTTCTGCATTGTGATGAAATTATCAGGTGATCCTGAGGATGCCTTACTCCAATTCACATTGGAGAGCCAATTCAGAAGTAAAAGTAGGTGTCATGCTAAGGAAATCATGCCTAATAGTATAGTCCAGGGGTGTCAAACTTGGGTTGTCGCATTGTTGTCACATGACATATTGTGATTCCCCCCCCCTTTGCTAAACTGGGAGTGGGCGTGGTCAGCGCGTGACCCATCCATCCTGTGGGCTGAGAGTTTGAAACCCCTGGTATGGTCTAACACTAGAGAAGGATGGTGCTGAAACCTGGCTAATCATAGCTTGAACCGAGTGACCAGTTTGGACTCAAGTATCTTCATCTGGGTTTCAGCTGTGCTGTATATAAATGATTGACTGCCCACATGAAATTTTCTTCAGTTGGATACATCCTTATACTTTGATGTTTTCCTTCTCAAATATACAATAACTAGACCATAAACTCTTCTAATTCCTTTACTAATGTCAGATACACTATGTCTGAACCTTTGACACTTACCATCACTAGTGAATACTCGTAGTTATCATCTGAATGAAACGGTCCATTTATGCTCAGGTCTACTATAAAAGTCAATATTCCAAGTAACGCAAAAATGGCACTGATGATATTCATGGCTTGTGAGCCTTTTACCTAAAAGGCACAAACATTGAATGTTAGGTAATCACAGCAAGAACATTTTTTACTGTATTGAGATTTAGGACAACCTTATCCAATCAGGTGTCATCCAGATGGGTTGGAACTATAGCTTTGAGAAAGAGGTTCCTCTAGTGACTTAAAGCATCTTCTAGCATCATCAATCATTGTGTTGCTGATTATATTCAAAGTCATAATAATGATTTAGTGATTCCAGATGTTCAAAGTAGTAGAGGAACAAATGTTTCAAAATCTCCAGAGCAAATAGCTGGGAACTTGGGAATTGTAATCCAACATGTTGGGAGAGAACAAGGATAGTAAAGGAAGCACTGATGATGTTACCTAGTTTGGATAATGAAATCTCTGCTAGAAAACAACAAAGCTCAGAGACCACCAAAGACCCTTCATAGTGAATGTTGATTTAGAATATTAATACATGGGAAGAACTACTTCAGCTCTAGTTCTGCTTCTCATATCTTTGGAAATTCAACGTTTTCATAGAGAATTAGAAAGTTTCAAGTAGTGTTGCCTTCTACAGATGTTGGTTAGACTGGAGACAGAAATGTTTTAGAGGGGTGAAGGTGATGACAGAGATACCATTTTCAGTGTTGAGCACTCTAATCTCTTTGGTCCTACTCTCACCTTTGTTTGAAATAGGTACAATACCCCCTGCACAATCTATACACCCAGCTGCAAAATCAGCAGTACAATAAGATGGCATATAGTGTTACATACTGACAAACAGTATGGTACTTTCCACCAAGGTCCTCCGTTCCGACGGGAACAGTATTCAAATCTGATTGGTTGAAAGGTCTGACAGCTTCCTATAAAAGGGCTGCTGCCAGACAGAGTCTTTGCTGGATTGTATATGGTTGTCACTTAATAAAGGGCTGTTTGTTGCTGAAGCCTGAGTCTGCCTCATCCATTCACCCTATCTAACACTGGTGACAAGGATGGGATTGGAAGGCAACTAGGCACCAAAAGAGCAAATAGAATCCAGCAATCCAATCCAGCCCGGAGCAAAGCGCAGCATCAAGCAGCCATCTTAAAGCGGCTAATTCAAATCCGCTTGCCAAGACAAGATGACTACGAACGTCCCACCAGCTCCGTACGACCCAGCCACTGAGCACTGGGACTCGTATATGATGAAGTTCGAATGCTTTCTTGAAACCAACGAAATGAACCTCACTCTCCTGGGCCTGTCCGAAGGCCGGAAGAAAGCAATGCTCCTGAGAAACTGCAGACCAGACGTGTTCGAGATGGCTAAAGACTTGTTGAAACCAACGCCGATCCAGTCAGTCACTTGGTCGGTCCTACAACAGATGCTGTGGACACACTACGCTCCCAGACCACCTAAATACATGTGGAGGCACAAGTTCAACCTCCACAACCAGAATGAAGGAGAAGCAATCAATCAATATATTGCTGCACTTTGGAAGGCTGCGGCTTACTGCAAGTTCAGGGACATAGATGAAATCTTGCTGGACAGATTATTTGTGGTGTTTGGGACATTACTTTACAGAGGAGGTTGCTCACCAAAATGAACCTCACTCTTACAAATCATCCTGGACGAAGCCAGGGCTACCAAGTCTTCGACCAAGTTGATGGAGACGCTGCAGAGGAAGAGCAGCCCAAAGAGTGCATGCAAAACTGTGGAGGTGCATCATGAGTCTACGGAGCCAGAAGCTTCAGACAGCAAGGACGACATCTACAGCATGCGCCGTGACCACAAAGAATCGGCACAGAATTTTGAAATGCATTTCCCGGCTTGTGCCGGCTGTGGAGGGAACTACCAGAGATCAGCTTGCTGCTTCTGGGACACCATCTGCCAGCCCTGTGAACAAAAAGGACACATTGCCAGGGTCTGCAGAAGTGAGTTTCCTGTAGCACCAAAGCAACTGAAAGGCTAACCTGCATGCCCAAAACTGCCAAGAAGAGACTCATGGCAACGACAGCCAAAACAGCATGGGGCAGAATCTGGTGCAACTTTCCAGACCACCATTGGTCAAGCACGGATGCTGCGGGCTAAAAAGCTGAGGGGCACCATCTTCCTTGAGGGATCTCCATGCTGTATGCAGATTGACACAGGGTCATCACTGACCATTATGTCCTGCGCTATGCTTAAGAAGGCCGTCCCCAACTTGAGGAGGCGCAAGCTGAGGGTTCCAGACCTATGCCTGAGCGAATATCACGGGAACCAAATCCTGGTTCTGGGCCAAGGAAATTTCCAAGTGCAATTCAAATCCTTTGACAGACTGTTTCCTGTGACAATGGTCGGCAGAGCCCTGCAGAGCCTCCCAGACTTAAACTGGTTCAAATCCCTGGGCCTGGGGATGATTGGAATTAACGCCGTTCGTGATGAGAGCACTGAAGAACTCCTTAAGGAGTTTGAGGACATCTTCGGCACCGGTCTAGGTAAGTATGTGGGGACTCCAGTCTCTTTTAATTTGGACCCCAACATAGCCCCTATTAGGCTTAAATCCAGGAAAGTCCCTTACGGTCTCAGCCCCAAAATTGATCTTGAATTGGACAAATTAAATGGCCAGGGAATGTTAGAGCCGGTAGAGCACGCATGCTGGGAGACCCCTATAGTGACACTGGTCAAGCCTGATGGGTCAGTCCACATCTGCGTGGATTACAAGTGCACAATAAATAAAGCTTTACAATAAAGCGCTTATCCTGTATCCATTGTACAGCATTTACTACATTCACTAGGCCCTGGAAAAGTGTTTGCTAAATTGGACATGGTGCAGGCATACCAACAATTGCCTGTAGATGGTGCCACAGCAGAGGCCCAAACCATTGTGATGCATAGGAGTGCCTTTAAATGCACCCGGCTACAATTTGGCATTAGTATTGCCCCTGGACTGTTCCAAAGTGTCATGGAACAGCTTTTGCAGGGGATACCAGGAGTTGTCCCCTATTTTGATGACATATTGGTATCAGCTACAAATAAGGCGCAACTTTTCAAACGACTTAGGGCTGTTTTGACTAGAATTAGCGAAAAAGGTCTCCATCTTAAAAAAGAAAAATGCCAAATCAATGGGCCAAGGGTTGAATTCCTAGGGCACCTCATCGACAGCTCTGAGATTCACCCCACAAACAAAAAAATTAAAGCAATCCAGAACACCCCTACACCTCGCAATCAGACCAAACTCCAGGCATTCCTCGGACTCCTTAACTTCTACTGCATCTTTCTTAAACAGAAAGCCACGGTTGCTGAGCCTTTGCATCCGCTCCTCAGCAAGAAGGCGAAATGGACCTGGGGCAGAGCTGAAGCTGCGGCATTTGCTATGGTGAAAAGACTGCAGTCAGCGGACATGTTCCTGGTCTAGTACAACCAGACTTTCCCACTTGTGTTGACTTGTGATGCTTCCCCATTCAGCATTGGGGCCATCATCAACCACCGCATGCCCAATGGAACCGAGGCACCCATCACCTACTACTCAAGAACCCTGTCAGCTGCTGAGCAGAACTACAGCCAACTGGATCGTGAAGCTCTGGCTGCAGTAGCTGGCGTGAAACAGTTCCATGAGTACTTGTATGGCCATGATTTTGAAATCATCACAGACCATAAACCATTTCTGGGCCTGCTGGCTGGGCACTGGCCTACCCCAGCATCACTGTCACCGCAAATGACTCACTGGACTATTTTCCTCACGGCCTACAGCTACTGCATCATCCATCGACCTGGAACCACATTGGGGCATGCTGATGCCCTCAGCCAATGCCCTCTACCAGAACGGCTTGCCGATCCGACCTCTGAGACACCAGTCCTACTCATAGACTACCTTGAGGCTGCTCCTGTCTCCTCCAGTGAGGTCGCCCACCACTCAGCTAAAGACTGAACTCTGAAACAGATTTTGAACTGAGTATGGATGCGGTGGCCCAAGGGGTCAGTTGGGCCAGAGTTTAAAATGTTTTTTGGTAAAAGGGATGAACTGTCTGTTGTCAATGGTTGTTTACTGTGGGGGGACCAGGTTGTTGTTCCAACCAAACTGCAAGTTGCAGTATTAGATGCCTTGCACATAGGGTATCTGGGAATTTTCTGGATGAAATCTTTGGCCAGGAGCTATGTGTGGTGGCCTAACATAGATAGGGGGATTAAGAAATGGGTGGCTACCTGCACACCATGCCAGGAGTCCAGACCAGCTCCCCCAGAGGTGCTCGCTAAGGAGTGGGAGTGACATCAGTCATCCTGGTCTAGGGTAAGACATTGGCTTTGCCGGTCCAGTTCATGGCCAAGTATTCATGGTAGTTGTGGATGCCTACTTGAAATGGTTAGAGATAGTCCTCATGGCCACTACCACAGCAGAAGTGGTCATCAAGGCACTACAGAGACTTTTCTCCACTCACGGCCTGCCCGGCATCTCAGTCTCTGACAACAGGCCCCAATTTACGGCCATGCAACTTAGCTTCGCAGGGAATCAGGCATGCCCTGGTCACTCCATTCCATCCGGCTAGTAATGAACAGGCGGAGAGAATGGTGTGATCCACTAAAGAAGCCTTATCTAGGATGGGGCCGGGAGATTGGCAAATATGGGTTGATCAATTCCTCCTCATTCAGCACATCACGCCATGTGCTACCACCGGGAGAAGCCCCTCTGAGCTTCTAATGGGTCACCGGCTAAGATTGCTCTTAGACCGGCTACATCCAAACTACTCTGCTGCGATGCCCCCAGATTTGACCACCAAAATTAGACACTTTAGCATAGAGAATCGAGTTTATGCCCACAACTACGCTGGGGGGGGGGGCTCTGTATTCCTGCCACGGTTACAAGAATTACCGGACCTCACTCATATCAATTGGAGCTTGAGGATGGTAGAACTTGAAGGCAGCACATTGACCAACTCTGTAGCTGCCTCTCCCAATCCAATCTTAGGCAGCCAGAGGTAACTCCTGCACGAGTTATCCAAAGCCCTACCCAAAAGGAGCATGAATTCACTCCTTCCACAGACTTCTCAAGCCCAAAGGTATCAGGGTACTTATCTGGTGAAGTTGCAGGGCCGCAATGAGTTCCGAGTGAACCGGCTCCAGAAACTCCAGCAGCGCCCTGTGGAAAGTTCCAGGAGGCTTCCACCAGGCAAAGCCAGAGAGACAACAGGTGACCTGACTGAAGTTCCAGTACTGACTGAACTGCACAGGTCTGGGCGAGTCACCAGAAAGCCCACCTACCTGCATGAGTATGTTACAAGCTGGACGATCCCAACTAAGAGGGGAGGGGTGTTACATACTGACAAACAGTATGGTAGTTTCCACCAAGGTCCTTTGTTCCAGCGGGAACAGTATTCAAATCTGGTTGGTTGAAAGGTCTGACAGCTCCCTATAAAAGGGCTGCTGCCAGACAGAGTCTTTGCTGGATTGTACATAGTTGTCACTTAATAAAGAACTGTTTGTTGCTAAAGCCTGAGTCTGCCTCATCCATTCACCCTATCTAACATATAGTGAAGAATGCTGCCTTCTGTTTCTCAAAAAGCAAACTCAACTTCCAAAGTTTGAGAAGTTCACTAAGAAAGATGAACCAGTGAGTACCCTCAGATTGAATCTCTTCCTTTTTGGATGTAACTTCTTTCGTGATAACATTAGTCCAAAATCTCCTTAGAAATGTTTGCTGCTCCTTTCTAGAAATATGGTCACTAAGAAAAACTCAGAACCTCTCTATCTCCTCCCCATAGACAATTACTCAGAGCTAAATCCCACTGAGTTCTGTGTGGATATATGCAGAGGCAAAGAACTGCTGCATAGTGGCTACAGATAACAGAAAAACAGAGTTCAAAGGGACCTTGGAGGTCTTCTAGTCCAACACCCTGATCACACAGGGACCCTATACTATTTCAGACAAATGAAATAACAACTATTGAATAACAAATATTCAATTGCACAAGGGATATCAATAGATACAAACTAAATGTAATCCGTTCTAATCTTGATTGCAGGAAAAACGATTTCAGCAATAGAGTAATAAATGAGTGGAACACCCTACCTGATCCTGTTGTTAGTTCCTCTAACCTCCACACCTTTTACCCTAAGCTGTCTACCGTGGACCTTACGCATTTCCTAAGAGATCCCCAAAGGGGCAAGCATAAGCGCACCAGCATGCCTACCATCCAGTGGTGGGATTCAAATAATTTAACAACTTGTTCTCTGCCCTAATGGCCAGCTGGGTAGGCGGGGCTCAGTGGTCACGTGACTGGGTGGGTGTGGCAACTCAACGTCACTCCCATCGATCGGCGCTTCGCCTTAGCTCTTACAATGTAATCAAGGTTAACCGGAGAGACAGTTTCTGTAAGCAGGTCAATAAAGATGAGGCTAGAAACAACACCAGAATGTTTCCTTCCTGCCTTCCTTACAGGATTAGCCCTGTAAAGTGGGGAAAAACAAAAGGAGATTTCTTCCAACAACCGGTTCTCCGAACTGTCTGGAAAGTTACCAACTGGTTCTCCCGAATAGGTGCGAACTGGCTGAATCCCACCACTGCTACCGTTCCTGTCCCATTTATATGTACTCTTTTTATGTGTTTATGGCTATGTTTTGCTTACTTATATCCATTTATTTGTGCCACTTTTTCATGCGTTTTCATACTTGTTTCCTTGTACTTGTTGACAAATAAAATAAATAAATATATAAATAGCTGCCCAACCTATTATTAAAAGCCTCTAGTGATGGAACACCCAGCTGAAGGCAAAATCTAAAATACAGTTTAATGCCCTGGACAGAGCATATTACTTTTGGGAACAATATTTTTGGTTCTAATAACTGGTGTTATACGAAATATTGTACTAAAAGACAGTTAAAATCCTGGAATGGAAAAAGAAATCTCTTCTAAAAATGCAGTGGGTTTTTAATAGGACAAATGAACAATGTCTATGTACTCTAATGCCACCTTCACCCCCGGCCTCACCACATGAATATTCTCCTCTAAAAGATTCACATGCATTTAATGGCTTGCAAATCTTAAAGCAGTCATACTTGCTCCTGGGAGGCAATCAACACCATTTGCAGCAACCCGGATGATTTCCCCAAAAATATCTTGCATGCGGTAAGATCATCATACAAATGCCACACTTATGTACTTGTATCCCCATGTCCAGCAGAAGTAAGTTGTGGCATTTGTGTGATGAAGTTGCCACACTTTTGCTCCCTTCATGGATGTAAATGAAGTTGTTTCACTAAGATCTTTTCTAGTATTTAAAGCATTAAATTGCAGATCATAGTAAAGAAAAAAAACAATGTGAGGCAGACTCACTGCACATTCCGTAGGGCTCTTCTCAGCACCAATTGAGAGACATCCAGAAACAATGAACTGTGTGGAAAGAAGGAAAGTAATAATCATTTACATCTCAATTAAGAGAACATCCCTTACAACCTTCACTAGATAATCTCTCATGGTGGTAGAAATGAAGAGGAAGATCCGTACCATGAAATGCTTTGTCAAGAAAGAAAAGCTATCTGTAAACTAAGCAGTGGGATATATAACCCAGTGTCTGCCCTGGAGGTCAAACATTTAGTCAAGGATGGGAGACAAAGGGCCCTTCTGCTAATAATTCATCTGAATCCACAGTGAAAACACTTAGCTTTCATCTGACACAACGGGGAGGAAAAGACAGACAAAGAAAGAAAATAAAATAATATCTCCCATAAAAATAGGATAGAAAGGGAGGTATCAGTAAGAATAGGAGTGGGGAGAATCTTTCACTTTTGGCTTGTTTGTTTGTTTGTTTGTTTGTTTATTTATTTATTTATTTATGAAAACATATATGGCCGCCCATCTCATTGCAAAGATATTTGCTTATATACTTTCTATTAATATGTAAATCTCTATTAAAAATATTGTCCTATTCTGATATCTGAGAAGTCTTATCTTTTCAGGCAAATCAGTCTCATATCCATCTATATTGTTTGTCTGTCTGTCTGTTTGTCTATCTGTCTTTCAGTTTATCTGTCAATGTCTGTCTGTCTGTCTGCCTGCCTGCCTGCCTGCCTGCCTGCCTGCCCATCCATCCATCCATCCATCCATCCATCCATCCATCCAGCTATCTAGCTATCATCTATCTATTCTATCCCATCCCATCCCAATCTTCCATCTTGTTCCAAGACCTTGAAAAAAGGTTGTTCCTGCTCTGCCTTTTGGTAGGCAGAAGTTAAGAGGCACTCTTTTGCCTTCAAATTATAGATTCTTTGCTTTGGAGCTATAGAACAGTACAGTCTGTGCTCAATTATGATTCATTTTAGGGCTGAGATGAATGTATTTGCCATATTTGTGTGTTTTATATTTAAAAGCCAGTTTCCCAACCTCCCTTGTCCTCATTTGCCAACATTGCACTTTAGCCCTGCTGGCTGTGGTAGCAAATCTAAATAGTTTAGTAAATAGGTTTATCAAAATTATGAAGAAAAAAAGTCTACTCAACATAAGCACATAGACCCTCACAACAAAAATTCAATGGCACTGAGCAAATGAGGACATGAGTAGTGAGGACAAAAATGTGATTGTTGAGTGAGACCAATCTTTTTATCAATAATAATTTGTGTTGATTTGTAGAGGAGATTCATTGCAGCCCTAGTCAGATAAGGAAAGTAAATGAATTTTGGGAAGTGATTTTGCTAATGTAGTTTTGGGTATTTCTCTATATGAGGCTTAAATAGTCTTTGGGTTCTTCCCTTGCTACTTTTCATACATACAAAATTGTGATTGTCAGATTCAGAGTCAGCCCCTAGTCAGTTAATAAGCATCATAGCCATTTTAATGTCCTTTGTGGCATTGTGGGAAAGTAGAGTGCAGATCTGTAGGGAAGCCAATAGCTAGAGTCCTGTTGACCAAGGAGAGGGTCCAAGGTAAGACATTTGGTACAGCCAGCATCAAACCAGCATTGTTGTTAGTTGCTGGAAAACAGGAGAGAGTCAGAGTTTTGATTTCAGACTTATGTCACATGCTCGTTTAAGCAAACCTCATCTAAAGCCTCATATAGGAATGTACACAACAATAAAAAAGAATGCTGGGAGGATACTAATGAAAAGTGAGCCAGGGTGATCAGACTGAAAACTGGTTTGAGACATATGGAGAAATGAAGTTGTGTGAACAGAGGCAACTACATAAACACAGGTGTAAGAATATGGACACCTACGCAGGAAATTGATGGTGAAATTGTTCAGATGACAGTCACAGAACTGAACACGAGTCAGACTTAGCATTGACAGTACCTCACATTGCTGCTTCACACACAAACAGAATTTGCTGGATGCAGTTCTCCTAAAGCTAGCAAAGAAATATCTGGGTTTATGTATAATCTGTTAGAGATTGTACTTTCCAGATTTGTCTTATTATATGAAAGTGCCTTTGCTATTAAGCATGAAGATATGAACATAGAGTTTACATTATAAAAACAAAGACTTAACCACAAAAAGGTTTAGACAAAACTTCCATGGTATATCTTCCTGTTCCCACAAACACTATTCAATATTTATTTATTAAATTATTTCTATATTTTTCTATTGGCAAGGGTGCATCATTGTGTCCAGGTAGACTTTGTTGAGGTCTTTGGTCTTTTCTCTCTCTCTCTGATAATTATGCTTAGAGGACACTCAACTTATCTGCTACATCATCTAACTCAGTGTTTCTCAATCTTCACAACTTGAAAAGGTGTGGACTTCAACTCCCAGAATTCCCCAGCCAGCTAAGCCAGCTGGGGAATTCTAGGAGTTGAAGTCCACACCGCTTCAAGTTGAGAAGTTTAAGAAACACTGATCTAACTGATCCTTTCTCATTTTTCTCCCCATTCTCACTCTACATCCAATGCATCAGGATATATAAGACTGCAATTTATAATACAGTATGTAATAAAACAGAACAAAGAACAGAGCTTCATTTCTAGGTTGAAAAGGCACAACAAGAATGAGGAAATAGTGTAAACAGTGAGGGAGAAGTGAAATAAGAAATGGATGCCAACAACATTGCAGATTTAGACACATCTAAGACTAAAAAAAGAAGTGTGTGTGCCTGCGTGCGTGCGTTCATGTGTGTGTGTGTGTGTGTGTGTGTGTGTGTGTGTGTGTGTGTGTTGCAAGACAGGCTAGTTCCAAGCCATATACCAAATAAACATCTGGTAAGAGGACATTTTGCCACTTTCTGGATTGACTGGATTTTGTCCCCAAACGAAAGAGTCATTTTGTGAATAAAATAACCAGAAGACCCTCGTATGTGTTCATTAGCCCTTATCTTAAAGCTGTTTATTTCAAATTAAATCTATTAAGATTTGTATTTCAAGAATTAGAGCCGGTTAGAATGCCATACTGCAGGCTACTTCTGGCTGCCTGCAATCTGGCAGATCAAATCACCAGGCTCAAGGTTGATTCATCCTTCCAGCCTTCCAAGGTGGGTAAAATGAGGACCCAGATTGTTGGGGGCAATATGCTGACTCTGTAAACTGCTTAGAGAGGGCTGTAAAGCATTGTCAAATGGCATATAAATCTAAGTTCTTTAGCTATTATGTTTAAGAGGCATGATAATTGATAATACACAGCCCCTTAATACAATATTTTGCATTCTACATGAATGAAAAATAAATAAATGAAAAAAACAATCCAGACTGAGAGAAAAGCATGTTGAAACTTTTCCAGGATGGTTGTATAGTGACATCTCATTCATTGTAGAGAAGATGATTGGCACACCATTTTGCCCCAAAATTGCAGTAACAGAACCAAAAAGCTGTGCTAGACTTATATCTGAGCTGCAAACATTCAGACAAATAGGTGCAGCAGAGAGCTAGCAGTTTCTGTATCTTTCTGCTGGTATCCAATAATCACCTAGTTGGCGTTAAAGCTAATGTCCCATTAACTACAAATGTGTGAATTATCAAGGCCATGATTTTCTCAACTGAAACACACTGTACTGTAAGAAAAGGGATGCTTCTAAATTGTGGTTTGGAAAAATTACTGAGGACACCTTGGACCCAAGAAGAGTACATAAACCATTCATTATTAGATGAAGTTAAAGTAGACTGCCCATTGGAAGCATTAATAATGACGCTAAAGCTTAGCTGTGTTGGACATCTTATCCAAAGGTTACTGGAGAAGCCCCTTGTGCTTAGAAAAAGCTGGTTGACCAAAGACAAGGTGACTGGATATCCTCTCAGGTGATGCAAGTAAGAGATTACAAGAACTTAAAGAAACAACTATTAACAGACAATCATGGCAACATGATGCTTACCAGGTCAACAACAGTCAATGTGACTGAATGAGGGAACAGCAACAGTGGCAACTCAGATTCAGGCAACACAGAGATGGTAGCTCTAAATCCTAATTATTTATTTCTTAGATTTATATTCTAGCTCTTCTCTAAGTGCTCAAGGCTTACAGAAACAGAGGGATTCCCCCTTTATTTTAGGCCCACATCAGCAATCCTATAAGGTGGATTGGGTTAAAGAATGACTGATCCAAAGACATTGAATGTGGACCCAGAAATATTTCTAGCATGAATGACGTTCCGTTCATCTTGCAAACCGTATGTGACAAAGACCTTTTACTCTACTGAATTAAAGTGTTCTCCACACATCCTTAAGGCATCAGAAAACTCTATTGGCTTCAGGTTTTTTCTCTCCATTGCTCACCCCTGTCCTGCCTCTGTTGCCTCTGGCTCAGTTCACTGCCATCACTTGATTCCTCCTCAAAAATGGGTGAGAAAGCCTTGTGGAATGTCCACACCTTGAACATTTTATGAGAATAAAGGAGAGGATATTATTTGAATAAAAGGTAACTAAGAATGACTTTGATGGATATGTCATTCAGAGCTGGAAATAGAAGAATAGAATATGAACTTGCCAAGGTGTGTTTGCATCCAGATTTGGCAGAAGTGAAGAAAATACTCTCTGTAAGCTGAAAATGAAGTGTATGGGTTGATTAAATAATTAGATTAAATAATTAGATTAAATAATTAGACATCTTAGCCTGTCTTCATCTTTCAGATCTCCCAAACTGGGTGTCAGTTGTCTCTGATCCCACAAAACACTATAGGATCAGAGACCCTGGTTTTTGGAACAGCTGCCTTCCCTCTTGATATTCCTTCCAGCCTGAGCACAGACAACCTAAGCTCTTTAAACTTGCTAAGACTGCAACACTAAGGCCAAAGCAATGGCTGGCAGTGGTGGTGGTGGTGGGGTTGTCTGAGGCAGCTACAGTCTCCTTCCCATTTCATGGCACATTGCCCCTTCCATGGTTGAGGTGTTGAGTTCAGTGGTGGGTTTCAATTTGTTTTAGAACTTCTTCTGTAGGTGTGGCCTGCTTTGTGGGAGTAGCTTTCTGGCCATGTAACTGAATGGGAATGGCTTGGAAGTCATGTGACTGGGTGGGCGTGGTCAACTTGTAAAATGTGGTGAAACTCACTTAACAACACTCTTGCTTAGCAACCAAAATGTTGACTCAGAAACTCTGGCATTTGAAGCACACAAAGTCTTAAAGCTGTCAAGTTACAAGACCCTTGCACTCCTAACCCTTTAGAAAAAAACCTCAGGGGTGTTCAAACTTGACAACTTTAAGACTCGTGGACTTCAACACCCAGAATTCCTCCCCTTGCTCTTCATCTTGATGATGTGCAGATGGGTGGGGGGAGGGAGCTGGAATCGGTTCTAAACGGCACTGTAGATTTGTGGAACCTCTTCTATATAAGAGGTTAGAACTGGTAGGAACTCACCCCTGGGTGAGTTGGAGGAATTCTACTCTCTGAGATCAGGATTGACTTAGAGATAAGTGAGTACAGGTGAAAGGCAGATTTGTAAATTCTGGACTCTCCCACTGTCCCAAACAAAATAATCCGGGGAAATAGTGCCTAGTCATATCAACCCCATACCTCAAGTAGTGGATGAGTGCTAGGCTGATTCCAATCCCTGAATTCTCCACACACAGCACCAACTGTTTAATGAAGTGTACAGATTGTGCTCACAGGAAAATTGCCACAAAGTAGGCCATTTAAGAAGAAATGATATATTGTTAATACCAGTAATAATATTGATATTGATATTAATATCTCATCCATCATTTCACTCTGAATTTAAATAAAATGAATTTCAGTACTTTCTGTTTTTTGGTGCATATTTGTCAGGTGAATTGAAAAACAAACTCTCAGAAGCTATAGAAAAGGGATCTGAGTTTTAAATCCCACCAAGGTTTCTTAACTCATGTTCTTCTGCTGTGTGAAAAAGCAGCAGTTTAACAATTTGTGGCCCTTTTCCCAAAAGCAGTGACCATGGTTGCAGGTTGCTATGGTGGCTGGGATGGAGAAGCTGGAGAGCAATCAACACTGCTTAGAGACAGGAAGAGGATGCTATACAGCTTTGGAAAGGGAGGTGGGAGAAAATGCAGTGGGTGGTTTGACCTCAGAAGATGGAAGATATGAGAATCCTTGCCAATAGGAAAGCAGATTTCCTACAAGGGTTGCAAACCTTCAGTGATTCCAAGGAAAACACCAGCTTTGCTGCTATCACTAACAAAATGGTGCAGGCTTACTAGGTTCCCAAAATAGATGATAGTGAGAGCAATGGTGATGATTTGTTAGGTCTGCCCACTCCAGAAGACAGTATAGATTCACAACTGATCCCTAAGAGATACAAATGTATGTGTGGAAGAATATTTTAAGCGACAACCTTCTGGGAAGTGAAATAAGCCATTCTTTTTTTAAAAAAAATAATTTTGCAGTTTGGGGCCTGCCTTTTTACCTCAGTTTAAAAAGGATATTAACAAGCTGGAGGAAGAGGAGAGAAGGGCTACCAAGATTGTGAAAGATTTGGAAATCAAGTCCAAGAGGAATGGTTCTAGGAATATTGAGCTTGATTTCTGTCTTCAAATACTTGAAGGACCGTAGCATTGTAGATGATTTAATTTCTGATTATTCAGGAGGAAAAGACTAGAATCAATGGGATGAAACTTCAAAGATTTAGAGACAGATTAGAGATTCCAAAGAACTTCTTGACAGTAAAAACTGTCAATCAGTGGAATCTACTGTATTTTTCAGAGTGTAAGATGCACCTCCCCCCCCCAAAAGACCGTGGAAATGTTGGTGAGTCTTATACAGCAAATACAGCCATTTTTGGCCTTCCGAAGCCCCGCCCCCGCATCCCATTTTTGAGAAAAACAGGCCGTTTTTTGCAAAAACAAAGGCATTCTTGCCTTCCCCCAGCCCCCAGAAGCAGGCTTCAGCAGGGCTGGGGAAGGCAAAAATGCCCCCATTTTTGCAAAAAATGGCCCATTTTTTGCCCGTTTTTTTGCAAAAACGGGGGTATTTTCCCCTTCCCCCCAGCCTTGCTGAAGCCTGCAGAGTCCTCCTGGGGGCCAGGGAGGACAAAAACTTTTTTTATTCCTTACCTCTTCAAAATCTTGGTGTGTCTTATACACCCGTGCGTCTTATAGTCTGAAAAATATGGTAATTCTTCCCCTTCAGTGAAGGTTTTCAATTAGAGGCTGAATAGTCATCTATCAAGGATGGTGTAGTGAATCCTGCAATATGCGGGGGTTGGGGTTGGGGGATTGGCTTGATGTCCACTTAGGTCCAGGGGTAGGTTCCTACCAGATGAACAACTGGTTCACTTCACGCGCATGCGCAGTTTAGCAAAAATTGAACTTTCACATTGCAAACAAGAAAAGGAGCAAGGAAAACAGCTGAGAAGTGGCAATTCAATCTGCCTCCACTGATCAGCTGGGCTTCGGAAGCAGAAATAAAAATCAGTATAATCCAGGGGTGGCCGACCGGGCCTACTTTCACACAAACAGAGAACCGGTTTGCTCTCGGCTTGCAATCAGAACTACCGGTTTGGCTGAATTGATCTGAACCAGTAGAAACCAACCACTGCTTAAGTCGCTTCCAACTCTATGGTTGTTTCATACATGCAGCAGATTGAAATTGCATTTTAAAGCAAATGATAAGCACGTAGTAGAAGAAAAACAGGATACATTCCTTTGGCATGAAACTGAACCCACATCCTAATGCTATTAAATCTCAGAGCAATGGTGTTTATATTTAGAATTTAAATCCCTCTCCTTTTTTTTAGGAGAATAATACTGTGTTTCCCCCTCAAACTAATGATGCTTTTAACAAAATGGAAAAAAAAGGCAGGTGGGCCAAAGTGAAAGTACTTTCTTTTTAGCAAGAACATTGGTACTAATAGAATAAAAAAATTACAAACTAAAAATTTGGATGCTTCAAATGGAAGAAAAGAAGGAAGGACATGCAGCTCTGTAACATATTTTTTTGAACAGAGAGGACAGTTTTCAGCAAGAGCTAATGATGACTCATGACAGGGCAGACACTTTGAAGAACTCATGCAGGCACCTGAAGGTTTGTTCCACAACATCAAAAGGAATCTCAGCTAAGGGCTGGTTTAGCTGGGAGGAAACAAGACTGAACTCATTGAGGAGGAAACGTATGGGTAGTCCTCGACTTAAGATCACAGCGGAGCCCTTGAGTTGCTAAGTGAGGCATTTGTTAACTGAGCTTTGCCCCATTTTATGACCTTTCTTGCCTCAGTTGTTAAGTGAATCACTGCAGGTTGATAAGTTAGTAACTCGATTATTAAGTGAATCTGGCTTCCCCATTAGCTTTGCTTGTGAGAAGGTTGCCAAAAGGGATCACATGACCCCAGGACACAGCAAGGTCATAAATATGAACCAAGCATCTGAATTTTGATCCCATGGTCTTGGGGATGCTGCAAAGATTATAACTGCAAAAAACAGTCATAAGTCACTTTTTTCAGCACTATTGTATCTTTGAACAGTCACTAAACGAACTGTTGTAAGTCGAGGAGTACCTGTTCTTCATCATAGAACTCGGGAACTATTTTGCCTTCATCAGCTCTTTCTCACCCAGGACCTCCCACCACCCTTCCTCCCTTCTTCTTCATATATAATCTCTCTGTCCCCTGCCCTTCTGCTCTTCCAGCCACCCCTACCTATCTGGAGGGAAAGGGGGTTTCTCTGGTCTGTGATACTCACGGATGCTCCTCCCAAGAAGGGAATCTCTCCATATACAAAGAATGAGGTATATACACTGGACAGGGTGCTGAGAATGATCCCAAAGCTAATGTGTATGAAGCCAGTCATGATCTGGATAGTCTGTGGGAACAATCAGGGTAATAACATTCAACACTCGATGGATAAAATTCATGCATGCACACACACACACACACACACACACACACACACACACACACACACACACGCACACAAACCTTGAATGATTACACTGACTTCAAAG